CTCCACCGCTGGCCCCAGCGATGGGGCCCAGCAACCATCCACTGGAGCCTGGGAAACTAGGAGTTATTATGTCACTACCTGACTAATGATAGTTGTCAGACACTGTGGCCTATGAATAAAGTGACCAATCCTTATCAATTACGTTGTCCAGTTGTTGAAGGAGCTGCGGGCTGCATTCCTGCCACCAGCTACTGGTTGCCTGGCTAGCTTATGCCCCGAAATAACAACACAAAACCTGTATTCATTTAAACACTGCCCGGCCCATTAGCTCTAGCTTCTTACTGGCTTATTCTTACATCTTGATTACTCATTTCTATTAATGTGTGTAGCACCCCAAAGTGCACTTACCAGGAAGATTCTAGCCTATGTCCATCCTGGGTCGGAGCTTCATCGTGTCTGCCCCAGAGAGCAGAGCTATCGAGTCTGAGCTCACTTCCTCTTCCTCCCAGCATTCTGTTCTGTTTACTCCACCCACCTATGTTCTAACCTATCAGGGCCATGCAGTTTCTTTATTAATTAACCAATGACCTTCCTCCATCATCCAGTTATTCATCCTCACCTCTCACCAACTGCCCCATCCACTCCTTTCTCTGTAGCTTCCCATCAGATGTGTGCTTTCTCACCTCTGGCTGTTTGCAGGTACTGCCTCTGTCTTTCTGGCTTACTTTGTCTTCACTGTTCTCCACCTTAGAGCCTGTAGTGCTGGCCCAAGTCTGACATATAAGCCTTCTGTGTGCTCTAGCAGTTCCCTGTACTACAAGTACATAGAATATGACCAGTGTGGACATGCTGTCCATCTGATTTGGGAGGGTTATATCATATGGTTGCTGAATAGTAGATCTTTTCGTGAGTCTACTGCTTGTCCTAGTACATGGTTGTTGACTAGATAACAATGGAAAACTATCCAGCATTTAGGTAGATGATGACAAATCTGGGTGCAAACATAAGCATATTGCATTCTTCTCGTTTTGTAATGTAGGGGTACTTACATAATTTTATTCTCAACTATGAGTGGTGCTCTCAATCTGCCCTACTGGCTTATGCTAACCCATTTCTAAAGCCTTTGAGATTGAGCATGTTTCTCTTGCTTTTCTGTCTAGGTTCTGCTCAAGTACATCCTTGTTCCTTGTAAGCTCCTCCTTTAAGATCAGTATGCTGACATTCACAGTCTATGTCAGGAAGAATGAAAAACCTATAGAAATTTTAAAGAAAAGCATTTTCTGAATGCTGACAAAAATTTACTAAAGTGTTTGCATATTTAAGAGTTTTCTATTAAAATACATTAATTAGAAATCATTCATTTAAAACTCTTTATGGCATCAGTAGCTTTTTGGTGGATTTTTAAGGTGGCAACCAGTCCTTCTGCCCAAGTGCTACCCCCTTAAATATTATTCATATCACTAAATATTTTGGTAGAGAGAAAAAACAGTTGATTAATGGTTTACCTGCATTTTTCTCCTCTGTAAAAATTTTATGCTGATCCCTCACCTACACTCCATTAACTTCTCATAGTTCCTCATAGAGGGATGGGACCTTATGAGCCTTTCTCAATGAATGATGGAGTGGTGAAGCCCCAGTATTATATAGCTCTGCTTCAGGAAAACATGGCTGCATGGAATTCCTGAGTGCAGTCATTGTGTCCTCTCCTGAAGACCCAGTTTCCAGCAATTCTCCCCCAACTCTGACTTTTACACCCTTTCTTGCTCCCTCTTCTACAGTAACACCTGAGCCTTGGGTGCTGCTGTGGTGGTTAATTTTTGCCAGTTTGACACCTACCTAGACATAATGTGGGAAGGAGGGAAATTTTCTGTCACATTTTCCTGTAGGCAAGTCATTGAAGACATTTTCTTGATTAATGATTGATGTGGAAGGTCCAGCTTACTGTGGGTAGCAGCAATCTGTACAGATGGTCCTCATTCCCATAAGAAAGCAGGCTGAGAAAGCCATAAGGAACAGGCCAATAAGCAGTGATCCTCCTTGGTGCCCCCCCTTTCTCTCTCTCTCTCTTTCTCTCTCTCTCTCTCTCTCTCTCTCTCTCTCTCTGTGTGTGTGTGTGTGTGTGAAAGACAAGGTATATATGTGGAGATCAGAGGACACTATCTGGGAGTTGGTTTAATTCTCCTATCATGGATTCCAGGAATGGAATTCAGGTTATCAGGCTTGTATGGAATATGGTCTTAGGTGCTGAGCCATTTCAATGGCCCCTTTCCCATGTTTTCTTTCCATTAAAAAATAAAAACAGAAGTGTTTCTTATATTTCTCTCCCTCCCTAAATAAGTAAATGCTTGTAAAATGCTGTCTAGTAAGGAAAACATAGGGCTGTGCATGCAGCTTGGGGGTAGTGTGAGCTTGCCTCATACATGGGTCCAGAAGAAATCATTATATATCCCCTGCTCTTTGATTTATTCTCATGTGTTGTATATAATCATATATAGGCCTATAGGGAATTTTCTTCAGAATTTAAGATTTCTTATAACTCAACACTAGAATGACAGCCCAGTGACACAGAGGGCAATAAATGGATCTGAAGAGAAATTTTGTTAGTATTCAGGCACACCCTCACACAGCACCTCACACCATCTGCCTGGCTGTATAGAAAATGGTATCCTGTCCCTTTAAGAGACCCTCCGTTCACTCTCAGTCTCTCTAGTGCACTCCCTCCCTTCCTCCATCCCTCCCTTCCCCCTCTCTCTTTTTCTCTATCCCCCCCCCAGGCAAGCAGGTCTCAGCCTCTTTTCCTTCTCCCTCCTCCCTCTCTTTCTCTCTGTCCCTTCCTCCCATTCCTTCCTCCCCACTACACCTCCCCTTTTAATAAAACTTTGCACTCAATCTTCATCTACATGACATATTTGTCTGTCCCTTACCAGCCGCGGGTTGAACCTCACCCACATGCCATGGGACCTGGAAAGATTTCCAAATGTCCCACTGGCACACTGGAAGATGTTCAACACCATCAGCCGTCAAGTGTTGCAAATCAAATTTCAATGAGATGATACTTGATATCATTAAGATGGTGAAAATACAAAAGATAAGTCAGTCCTGGTTTCACAGCTCTGCAATCCCAGCACTTGGTAGAGGAGTGTGTGTGTGTGTGTGTGTGTGTGTGTGTGTGTGTGTATGTGTGTGTGGTGTCTATCATATATGAGTTTGAAGCTGGTTTAAGAATTGAAAAGTACATGTTGCATGCTGAGGATATAAGTCACAGAGAAAGCACTTGTCTAGCATGCACAGGTGCTGGGACATATGTGAGAGTGTAAACATACCAGAGAACAGGAACCTGCTACATTACTGCTGGTGCAACTACTAGCAAGTGAGCGTTTATATATATATAAAAAAGGAGATACCCCAATTACCTACCGCTTGATGAGTAGGTAAACAAAGGGTGGTGTGTTAATACAGTGGTCTAGTTTCTAGTCATGGAAAGGGGTAGAGAAAGGATACATCCTATAACATGAATAAATATCACAAACATTGAGTTGAAAGTAGCCAAAGGACTGAAGAATGGGACACTTCTTTATTAGATGATTTGATTTCTCTTTAATACCCAGGATGAGAAACTTGAAACAGAAAGTTAGATTAGTAACTAATAGGTGGTGGGGGTCTGGAGAAATGAAGAGTAACTCCTAATGAATAAAGGGTTTTTTCTCGAATGACAAAATTATTTTAAAAGTAAATAGAATAATGGTTGCGTTATTGTAAGAACATAGTAAAAAAATACCTACTGGGTTATATGCTTTAAAAGAGTAAACTTACTACATAAATGTATTACTTCTCAATATCTACAGATCACACTTCATGTCTGTGTATGTTTTGTCTGCATATATGTATGTTCACTGTGTGCATGTCTGGTGCCTGCAAAGAGACAAGAGGGTGTTGGATCCCCTAGCTATAAATATCTGTGAGCTTCCTTTCATTTGGGTGTGGTTATCGGTTGAAGGGTTTGTGCTGAGAGGTATTGAGGACTACTTTTCTCCTCCAGGGGCATGTAGAGTACCTTCCAGTACAGTGAACTGTGGTTAGTAGGTGAATAATGTAGTTAGACACCAGCTCAACTTCTCCATATTCAGTGACAGAAGTGTTCCCTCCAGAAACAAGACCTTAACATCAGGTTGTGTGAGCAACCAAGAGCCTTGGCAATAGCCTGTGCTATTTGGTGGTTTCCATGGGTCCCTTTGGTGAATGACTCAACAGGCTGTAACCTGTTCCTGGCACTGGAGGTTTAATTTGGTGGCACAAGATATCTAGTTGAAGTCTTCACTCCCCTGTTGTTTTTTGTCTCCCTGTGGGTTCCTTTCACACATGTAAAGGAAGATTCTAGGATAGTCAGTGTCCATATAGTTTTTCAAAGGACCTTTAGTATTGGTTGTCCCTCTCCATTTTCCTTCCTTTACCTTTCTGTCCCATCCCCCTTTCATTAAACCATCCAATTCTAGTTTTCCTTAATAGCTAAATAACACTATAGACTTTTCTTTCCTTTCCTCTCCTCCCTCCTGGTCCCTTACTAGGTTCCATACCTCTGTGGGTATTCAGATTGAAGTTCCCATATCAGAACCATAACATTCTTAAAAGAGAAAACATACAATATTTGTCTACATGTACTGAGCACTGTATGCTTTTGACGCTGGAGTCTGACATGGGCACGCACAGAACACAACCTCGGTGCACAGCTGCTGAGTACCATTGTGAGCTCATAGCGCATCACTATGCCCCTAGAACTGTGTTGCTAAGTGTGAATCAGAATTCAGCTCACACTGAACCAAGGATCTGCCCAAGCAGGACGCTTATTTGGTTCAGTGGGGAGTTTTAACCAGATTTTTGAACGTTTACTATTGGGTTTGGGAGGGTGGGGGTGGTTAAAGGGGAAGGAAGGGAGGGGCAGTAGGCCCAGGAGGGCCAGGAGGGCCAGGAGGGCCAGGAGGGCCAGGAAGGCTGAGAGGGAGGGCGGTATTGTCGGGAGGGCCAGGAGGGCCAGGAGGGCCTTTAGAGCCTTGAGCCTTAGCATGCAGGAGGATATGGATTATGATGCCCTAACCATGCGGGCCCCTCAGCGGTCTCGCTGGTATACCCGCCTGTGGCCCGCATGCCTGGGTTGTGGATGCCTGGGTAGAAGACAGCAGCGATTTCCTTTGTACCTAATTGGGTACGATCCCGTGGGCCGGTTCCAAAGGGCGGCCAGTGTGGGTGATGTCAAATTAGTCGAGAGATTGATCAATGCCAGGGAACACCATGTTAACGAGTGCGACAGAAGGGGCAGGTAATGGGGCCTGAGGAGGGGCGAGGGGCAGGAGGGGCAGAAACTGTTGGGGACAGTCAGGGTCTACCAGGGAGAAACATACCTTCCAGACCTGCAGCCTGTGGGAGGGCAGATGTCATGCTTAAGGCTCTTCTTTCATGGAGACCTCTGGGTTTGTGCCTGCTTTAAGCTCCTAGGCATCTGAAACCTGCACACCTTGGAAGGGCAGCTCTGAGGCTTTCTTTAAGAGAAGCAAAACAAAGAACTTCAGTTAGTTTACAAATCCCTTTACATTGTCTCTTTTAGAGCACTTTATTGAGGGCTTTAAAGGAATTTAGCTAAGGAAACCACATACATCTTTTTATGTGTACACTTATAATATTTTTAGGTTTGAGTGTTTTGGCTGCATGTATTTTCAGTGTACCACACAAGCATAGGAAGAGGGTGTTGGATCTCCTGGAACTGGGGTCATGGACAGTTGTGATCTGCTGTGTGGATGCTAGGAATCAAACCCAGGTCCTCTGCAGGAAAAACTAGAGCTTGTAAATGCCAAGCCATCTCTCCAGCCCTTTAATGTATATGTTTTAATGCTATGTTATATGCAACACAGAAAATTGTATCATAAGATAAATTTTCACATAAAAAGCCAACTCAAAGCCAAAAAAACCCCAAAGAATTAACAAGAAATCTTATGTCTGTTTTATGCTTGCTGAGGGATTTCATAAGGAAATTTTCAACTTGAACTATAACTCTGTCCCCCGGCCCCTTATATACATGTTGTGTGTGTTTTGGTAAATACATGAAGGCTAACGGTTGACATTCTCTTTGAAAATTTCTTTTCATCTCATTAAAAAAATCATATGTGTGTGTGCACCTATGCCTCACACATGCCAAGCAAGTGTCTGAAGGTCAGAAGAGAACTATCGACAGCTGTGTTCTGCCACGTTGTGGATTCTGGGGATTGAACATAGGCCATTGGCTCTGCCAGTAGGTGCCCTCACCTGATGAACCACCCTGTGGTTCCTCCACCTCAGCTTTTTAGACAGATTCTCTCACCCAAATCCCCGCTGTGTTTGACTGATTGTCTTGGAGTATACTGATTGACCTAGACTTGCTGGCAAGATAGATTTGGGGATCCTCCTGTATCCACATCTCCAGCACCAGTTTCTCAAGTTGCTGGGGGTTTTGAAGTTGGGGTCTCAGGCTTGCAGGGTGAGTGATTTTCCAACTGAGTTGTAACAGTCACTGCAGCCCTCTTTCCTAGTCCTTGTTTCCTGTTTCTCACTAGATTATAGGCAGGAAACAATGACCCTCAACAGTAGATTCTCCATAGCTCACATGCTTCTTGATCATGTCTGTAGTTGTGAGGTTACTTAGTCTATAGTTGTTCAGTCTTCCAAATTAGAGCTTCATACAAATAATAGAACAGTAAATTATTGTTTCAAAGTATTTTTGCTTAATATGTGTATTCTTTAGAAACACTGAATTTTCCAGCTGTATTTATCCATTCTACCAATCCACTTATTCCCTGCACATAACTTAGATATTTACTGTACAGCATACAAATCTACTAGCTCTCAAGACCCTCTCATTTGTAAAATATTACATTTCTCTGTCCAGTCAGCTTTCCTGACGTTCTATAAATTTAAATATTGAAAACAATGAATGATGCTCAATTGAATCCCTAGTAATTTTTGTCTTTAAACTTTTTGAAAATCAAAGCAAGGGAGCTATGATACCATGGGTTATCTCCTTCTGGATAGATTTGCTAAGTTTTGGTGCTAATTCATGGAGGTATAAGGCAAAGCCATTTGCTACCACCTGGTGTCTATATTAACATGGACATTTTGTCTATTGACTGAGGACTATGCTGTGTCCCTGTTGGTAGCAAATATAGAAACATTAATTCTGGGCAAAGAGAAATGAAAAAAAATTAAAGTATTGATGACTGAAATTTTAGATTTTTGTTTGTTGTTATTGCTATTCTAAATAGTTTACATTTCATAGTCTTAAGAGCAGAAATTTACATAGATACATGTGACCTTTAGAAGTGTCATGGGCCTGTGGATTGTGTCATATTTCATTGGATGTCAGACACAATGGACTGCATGGTGACCTTTTATTTTGTATGGTAGCAAAGTAAAAAAACATTGCCAATTATTGTCATAAAATATCATGAATTATAAGTGGCAGACATCAGCGATGCTAAAGTGTGAAACAAAGAGTAAGGTGGGTGCAGTGGAACTGCCTGCATTCCTACCTACTGGAAGGATTACCAAGTTCAAGGCCAGCTTAGGGAATATAGTTTTAAAATATTGTAAAGATACTTGAGTAAAAACTTTCACATCTGCAGTAGGTATAATTCTGCTATTTCTCTTCATTGAAATATTGTGTTTGTTACCATTAGGAACAAATTGTAATTGTATCCAGCAACACTGAGCTGTCAGGTGCTGGAAGCATTTGTACGTGCTCTTGAAGATGTGAGTTGAAGCGTCACAGCAGCACTGTGTAAGAGAGCTGCAGTGTTGAATCCCCATTCTACAGATGGAGAGATTGATTTGTGGAGCTCATAGGAGGTCTATGTTGTAACTAGTAACACTTGGTGATTAGAGTAGGATTCAAATCCAATCTGAGTTCAATCTACTGGGCATTCTCCTGTTATCCAGAGAGGCTGCTCTGAGGAAGGGTGAAGCTTGTGATAGAGCACTCGCCTTGAATGGGACAGCCATGCGCTATATGCCTAGCACAGAAAATGAACACCTGAGTAGAGAAATAAGTAAATAAGAAAATTTTAGTTTCTTCTTTTACATCAGAAGGAAATGCACATTGGTGTCTACTTGAGTGTGCCTTTACATAATAATCTGTAATTTCCTAAAATGTCCTCTCAATTTGTAGGAGTTCACTGCACTACGCCTCTGCCCATAATCATCCTAATGTAGTAACATTGCTATCATCCAACGACTGTACCGATATTAATATGAAGGATGATGAAGGCTGCACGCCCCTAATTAAGGTAGCTATCGCAAAACACTTTTGGTATAAAATGGATTAGAAATTATCCTTGTTTGGTTTTTGTTGCTGTGATGAAACACTGGCCAAAACCATCTCAGGAAAGGAAAGGTTTATTGGCTTACAATTCTACATCACAGTCAGTCATGAAGAGAAACCAGGTCAGGAGTTCAATCAGGACATGAGGCAGGAAATGAAGCAGAGGTCATGGGGGAATGATGCTTTCCCGTGGCTTTTTCCAAGACTTGCTCAGATATCTTATACTACTCAGGATAACCTTCCCAGTCATGCCACCACCCCTAGGAAGCTGTGCCCTCCCAGATCAACCTCAATCAAGAAAATACTATACACGCTTCCCAGAGTCCAGTCTGGTGGAGCCAATTCTTCAAGTGAGATTCTTTTTTTCCAGGTGTCTTCAACCTGTGTCAAGTTATCAAAACAAGCAAATGAACAAGCAACCTCCCCCACTACAAAAATGGCCAAACAGTGCTAGTGAAATCCTTTAATATCTAGGTGTGGTGGCACACCTCTGAAACTCTACCACTTGGAAAACTTTGGTAGGGAGGTTATGAATTTAGGAAAGTCTGGTTACTTGAGAGGGATAATATGCATGACCTAAACAATTGGTCTGATCCAAGGGTAACTAGTCAATGGAATTGTTGGAATGCTTTTTAAAGTTCTTGATTTCAGTGTCTCTTTCTTTATCCAATACCCACAGGCCGCCCAGCGGGATAATATAGAATGCATCTCTATTCTCCTCATGCACGGGGCTGATCCCCACATTGTAGATGCCAATGGCGATGCTGCCCTCCACCACGCCATTTGCAGAGGGAACATACCAGTTGTCAGCAAACTGCTGGAGTATAATGTAGATATTAAAGCCAAAACAGAGGTAAGAATCATTCAACTTCATTCACAATGTACTTCTAGCAATGACACTCAGATCACTTTCCACATTCTGAAGCTCAAGCAGTCTCACTGAATCTCTTCAGAGTAAAGCATTTTTTCAAATCTGTTTTTCATAGTTTTGTAGGTAACTTAAAGGAACTCAGCACAGCACATTTTGTTTGAGATTTGGGCTTTACTTTAAAATTCAACAAGTAAAGGACTTGGGCCCACACATACTTCACATACACACAAACAATAGAAAAAAAATTTTAAGATAAATGTCTGAAGAAAAAACAGAAATCTGTTGCAATTAAGAAGTTACTGATGTGACTTGTCTCTCAGAGATGAGGCTAGAATGGGAAGGTCACAGGCACACAGGTAAATGTGGAAATTTGATCATTGAAGAAAACATGCTGAGAAGACATTTTCACTTAACTTTTTCAGATGTTACATGTACATAACAAAGGGGCCAAAATGGGACTCTATCTTAGACAAGGAGCAACTCCATTGTAATTAATGACCTAAGCCTGAATCCAGGACGTTCCCCAGTCAAGTTTAGCCAATTGGCTAAACAGTTCCAAACCTGGCCTTATAAGGCCGGGAGACCAGAGTTGCAGGATCTGGCTGCTACTGACCACATGTGACAGAAAAATCCCACAATGGATGAAACTGTTACTAATTCTGTCCAATCAACATGCCCCCCATGTAACTGCTCCCTGACTGCCCAATTATTGAAAAAATATTTAAAAGTTTAAAAAGATAGAATTCCCCATGTCCACTTTAAAAGGGCCTGTATGTCTTTGTCCGTGGTCCTCATTATCACTGTTGCATGCTGGCTATTTCTGAAGAATAAGCACTCTTTGTGTTTACATACCATTTGAGTCTGAGGTCTTCCTCCAGCATCTTTTGGACCACTACAACAGGAAACGATGTTTGGTTTGGGAGAAAATTTTTAGGTTAGGGAAAATAGTTTTGAAAAACAGGTTGAGAAACTGCTCCAGAGATGCCACTTGGGTTCACTCATTCAACAGAGGCATACCAAATCTATCTCCATGTTTTAGGATTGGGGCAATTGAGCTCTCTATGGAGCTAAGAAACTTGGAACCAGCAAGCGTTTGTGGGAAGTTCTGGAAATAGTGGTGTTCACGGGCATTGTTGGACAGGGAAAAATGTTTCAAAGGAAAGGGAAGCCTGTGTGTGTGAATCTGCAGCAAGGGCTGAAGGAAAATCTATCCTTTTGTGACTCATTTTGTTTTCAAAATCTGTGATACATTTTTCATTTGAAAAGCATGTCAATTTATAAAATGAAATGTTTCCTTCACAGTATGGTTTGACACCCTATAAACTCGCTTTGTTTGAAAATCAACTTAAAATGGCGGAGTTTTTAATTGACAACGGTGCAGAGGCACCTTCGGAGCTTACACCAAATAGGTACCGTTTCTTTTTTACAATCTTAGTGCTGTTCTTGAGGGTGTCATTGCTTAAGTAATGAACACTAAAATGCTAGAGGGAAAATGGCTTCAACTCATAAGCATATATTGAGAAAGACTAGCTCACAGGGAGTGTGAGCTGGAAAAGAGACTGTTCTAACATAAAGGAACAGTGTGTACCAGGGCTCAGCTTCCCATTCAAAAACAAGTGATCATTTCTAATCTGATTTGATTGGCAATTTTCTACTTGTTAAGGCAACTTCACATTAATGTTTACTTTGAAAAGTGTCAACTTTATTATCAACACTGAAATGTATAATTTTATTATTTTTAACCTGTTCCTTATATATTTTCTTCTTATATATGTTCAACTTAAATATTTTTTTCAAATCATATTGTCTCTTTGATCACTCACTTTGCTTTAAGTGAATTTGAGTAAGCAAATAGTTTAGGGTATCCATCAATTAGATGATATTACCAGATGCTATTATTTTCCCCTGTCCTGTCTGAACTATCTTGACACTGTGTTAGTCATATGTGAATCTGAACACCCAAACTCCTAAAACAGCTAATCTGGATAGGGACACTTGTCCAAAATTAGTACAAAGAACTAAGACTCCATTGAGAAAATGCCTCCATAAGATCTGGTTGTAAGGCATTTTCTTAATTAGTGATTGATGGATAAGGGCCCAACACATCATGGGAGGTGCTGTTCCAGGGCTCATGGCCCTGAGTTCTATAAGAAAGCAGAATGAGCAAGCCAGTAAGCAGCTCTCTTCCATGGCCTCTGTAAGCTCCTGCCTCCAGCTTCCTTCCCTGTTTGAGTTCCTGCCCTATCTTCCTTTAATGATGAACTATGATGCAGACATATAAGCCAAATGAATCCTTTGGTCCCCAAGTTCATATTGGTCACGGTGTTTTATCACAGAAATATCAGCTCTAAAATGGACACTTGGTATTTAAGATAATTTCAGCATTAAAAATTAAATGATTACCTTTTCTATTCATACATGCAAGTTTAAAGTCAGATGAATTAAAAAGTAAAGCCTGTGTGTTGTGTATTTTTTATTGAAAATACACTTTGGACATACCATATATTCTAAACATGGTTTAGCATCCCTCATCTTCATGTACTTGTTTTTGTGTCAGAGGACGTGCATGCACTGATATTCCCAACCAAGACACAGTAAAACACTGTGTGATGGCTTTGTCTTCCATCTTATTTGAGGCATTTTTTTCTATTTTTATTTGGCACTTGGCCACTTACTCCAGGTAAGCAGGCTGGGAAGCCTCTTTGGTATCTTACTACCTCCACTTCCTTTGTACTATAAAAGTGCTGGGATTATAGATACATTACACAGTGTCTGACTTTTTGTTGAATTCCAGGTATTCAAATTCTTGGCTACTGAGACAATATGTATGCCCACTGAGCCATCTATCTGGCTCTAAAACACTCAATTTTTAAAAGAAGACTTTGGGTCTAAATTAAAGAGGTGGCTATAAGTGTATTGCTATATATGGAACTAAGGCTTCTGAGTGCAGAGCACTTTCAATTAAACCTCTAATCCAGTTAGAGGTCCTGTGTTTCCCTCTAAGAAGAACCATTTGAGGTCATTTATTCTTCCTTTAATACAAAATAGACAGAAATTTGTAAAGCTGGTACTTTTGAAGCAAATAAAGTATGCTTGTGACTTTGACATGGAATAGCACAGTTTTAGGAATTCACGACTAGGAACATGTCTCAGGAATAAAGTACTTATCACACAAACCCAAGATTTCAGAGTTCAACTCCTCAGAACATAGAAAGGGCCTCATGTGCTGTGTGCATCTTAATCTCAGGGAACCTTGAAGGAAATGGGAGATGGAGAGAGGAGACTGTCTGGAAAGTTATACTTTAGATAGTCTTGCTTTTTACAGCTGTTAACAACAAGAAACTCTGCCTCAAAACTAAGTTAGGAGGCAAGGATTGCCAGTCAAGGATGTCCTCTGACCTAAAAAACATGCACTGGGATCAACAGACACAAATGCATACACAGATGTGAACAAGAATGCATATCAAATATGAAGATGAAAAAGTAAGTTTAGGTTGTTGATCTAGTAAGACTGGGGATCATTATCTGCTAAAAAGACATTGAAAATAGTGGTCAAGGTTGAAGGTTTTCTTAGTTTTCTGGAGATCACTTCAGCAGCGATGCTATTTTGGACTAGGTTCACACCGCAGGTGAAAAGTCCCCATGACAAGTTCCAAGAATGTGATGACAACCAAAGCAGAAACTAGGAAAATAAAGCTGCTAGTCCAGAATATACTGGCAATAGGCTCTGAAGTACAGCAGTCTTAGCTCTGACCTGGGAAGAATATAGCTGACAAAAGAGTGTTGCTTTTCTTGAGTTTGGAAGCTGGTCATGAGTTACAAAGACTCAGGATTACACAAAAAGGCTTATGAACAAAGAAACAGCCAGGCGGTGGTTTCAGCATTCACACATGAAAGAACTGTTTAAAACAATTTGAAGGTGCCAGAACTGTCATGGCTTCTAAGAATGCAGGCAGAAGGATGCTTAGAAGCAAAAAAAAAAAAAAAAAAATACTTTTTCGTATACTGACCATTGAGAGCATAGTACTCAACAAAATACCTCCAAAGAGTTCTGACAGATAGGACTGTGGGGCCATAGGGACAAGCAGGCAGATGAGTGGAACAGGAACACTGACACCACGAGCATAGAAATACAAGGTTACTGGAGCATTCAAAGCAAATCTATGGAAAAAGCACTGCTATCATTCGTGTGTGTGTGTGTGTGTGTGTGTGTGTGTGTGTGTGTGTGAGTGAGAGAGAGAGAGAGAGAGAGAGAGAGAGAGAGAGAGAGAGTTTTAATCAAGAGCTAAATTTTCTCTGTTTCTTCTCTATGAGGGAAGGTGGGAAGGACAGCAGTCATTAATCATCACCAACTGTTGAAGAATTAGTATAGAGTTCTTAGGCTGGGCCTTGTTGCCCATGCCTTTAATCCCAGAACTTGGAAAACAGGAGGCACAGAGATCTCTTTGATTTCAAGACCAACATGATGCATATAGTGGGTTTAAAGTAATCTGGACTGCATAATGAGACCTGTTTCAAAAAATTATTTGTAAATATCTAATGAGAGATATATTAGGGACTCAAAAATAAAGAATTTAGAAAACATGCTAAGTATTTTTATATGAATAGTTAAATGATGATCACTTTTAAACATATGTCACAGTGGAGGAGCAGCTGCAGTAGAATCAGAACAAGCCATGAAAACGTGTGCCAACTCCAACGAAGGTAAGAATGTGATGTGGGAGTAATTTCTTATTAATAAAGAAACTGCCTAGACCCATTTGATAGGCCAACCCTTAGGTAGGCGGAGTAAACAGAACGGAATGCTGGGAGAAAGAAGCTGAGTCAGGGAGTCGCCATGATTCTCCCACTCCAGACAGACGCAGGTTAAGATCATTCCTGGTAAGCCAGCTCGTGGGCTACAAAGATTAATAGAAATGGGTTAGATCAATATGTAAAAGCTAGCCAATAAGAAACTGAAACTAATGGGTCCGGCAGTGTTTAAAAGAATACAGTTTCCGTGTAATTATTTTGGGTAAAGCTAGCCGGGTGGCGGGACACAGCCCACCGCTCGTATTTCAACAGAGTGGCTCCCAACGTGCTAATGAACTCCACGTAAAACCTGAGAGAGCTTAATTTTTATCACAGAAAAAAACAGAGTTTAACACAGCTTTTGGCTGTTTGTTGGTGGCTTGCTGTAGAGAGAGTTCCTGAATCAGCAACAGCAGCAGAAAAAAAGCTGCGTCATTTTAAAGTGTGACTTTCTGGGCTGTGCCGCCATTGCGATCTCTGTCTGGCTCCTGTGGGAGACAGAGCTTTTGAATGGAGCATTTGGAGTAAAGCTCTACGGCTTGCTTGATGGCAATGTGGACTGCTGTGTGCCTGAAACTGTGTGTGGCTCAGAGGCACCAAATGGCTCTGAGGCAGGAGCGGCTTGGCTCAGCTCTGCCATGCTGAACTGTGCTGGTCTCAGGCAAAAACTACCGTAATTACCATAAAAACAGCGCATTTAAGGTTTCAACTGGGCAGGACACAGGTGGTACCGTATTACCTGTACATGGTGCAACTTAAGTTTTTAAGAACTGCTTAACATTTTAATAAATGCTCCTGGATAGTAAAAAAATGTTACAGATTCACAATAAAACAGATTCAGACATAAAAGACCACACTGTTGGATGAATGCACATAGACTTGAGAGAGAGAATAAAAAGAATATAAAAAATAAAGTTAATGGTTTAAAAAAAAGGTAAAGTCTTTAAAGAGACAGAGTACAGATAGTTAAGAGATTAAAAGAAATAAAAAAAAATAAGCCACGTAAAAATGGAAAATTCACAGAGAGTCTGGATTATGTACATTGTGCTTTCTTTAAAATTTTTGACTGTAAAGGAGCTAAGTACAGAGAGACATTTCATTCTATGGGCTGCCAAGTGGAACCAAAATGGATATCATGAGGGTATGACTTCAAAATTTGGGTCTCAGGATATGATGCTTTGGAAAGGGTCTTCTTTTGTTTTCACAGAGGACCAGACCCTATGGATTGCATCTATCCCGATATGGTATGATAGACCACGACCTCCCGAAAAGTTCCTGTGAACACCCTCAAAAAATTACTTCACTCAACTGGCAACTGAGATAAACCTGGCACACAGGTTACACCCTAAATGATCTGATTAACAGCGCCCCCATTCAGCAGGAAGCAGTTTGGAGAGAAAAAACTGCGCCCATGTTCCCAAAATATTGTTTGTAAATGTTCTTTTACATTTAAAGGGGGAAATGATATAGGTATGAGTGATTTGCATTGGTGTAGATTTTACAGTCAATTTTGTTATATGTATATGTATTTCTGATCTTGATTAAGGTATTGTGATTGTGTAGTTCATTTAAAAATGTAATGTATAATTAAGAAATAAAGGTTAATGGATAATCATCAGTAATAGTCAAGCTTGTAGTCATGTTAGTTAGATTTTCTAGATATATAGAGATACATTTCAGTTAGATAGACATTCTTCATATCTTTCAAAGACTACAGAATATGGCATTTAATGTTTTAATAACTTAGGACTTTTCATGACAATGAGACATATCTGCTCCTGGCGGCACCAATCTACTTCAAGAGGAAGATGGGCATCGAAGAGGATCCATATGGAGTTGGATAGCCATTTGGGCAAGAAACTGCTCTTGCCTGGACTGTTGCATAAAATGGACACAGAGAACCCGCAGAGAGAGGACTGCTGAACTTGCCTAAAGGTGAGACGGTCTTTTGGGGTTCATGACTCATGAAAGAGTCTGCGAGACATTCTGCAGGACACAGCAGATAGTGACTGAACTGTCTTTGAAATTTCCTGCTTCATGGAAATGTCTGCTGGATACTATGGGCTAAAGGCTGAAGATGGATGCCCCAACCATACAAAAGAACTTTGGGTGACTGTCCAGGCAGCAAGATGTCTCTGTCATTTCCAGAGTTTTCTTATTTCTTGTTTACTTAGGTAGTATTATATCCTTCTGGAGTCTTTGATGGAGTTGAAGAATGAATAGATAGTTATAGTTTTCCTTAGTTATGATAAAAGATAAAATAGATATAAATATTGTAACTGTAATTCTTGCTTGATAACTGTTTTGCTATATGTAATTTTACTATGTTAAAGTTAAAGCCTTTCTTTTTTGTTTAAACAGAAAAAGGGGAAATGATGTGGGAGTAATTTCTTATTAATAAAGAAACTGCCTAGACCCATTTGATAGGCCAACCCTTAGGTAGGCGGAGTAAACAGAACGGAATGCTGGGAGAAAGAAGCTGAGTCAGGGAGTCGCCATGATTCTCCCACTCCAGACAGACGCAGGTTAAGATCATTCCTGGTAAGCCAGCTCGTGGGCTACAAAGATTAATAGAAATGGGTTAGATCAATATGTAAAAGCTAGCCAATAAGAAACTGAAACTAATGGGTCTGGCAGTGTTTAAAAGAATACAGTTTCCGTGTAATTATTTTGGGTAAAGCTAGCCGGGTGGCGGGACACAGCTCACCGCTCGTATTTCAACAAGAATGACTCCAACTGCTCCTACCTTCCCTAAAGAAAATAAGGAAGAGTAAAGATTTTAGATCCCCAAAAAGGAGTTAAGGAAATCCAGTATAAATGCAGTTCTGTGGTTTTCAAATATTCTGAAAAGTCAGAATTAAGAATTTATTTCAAAGAACTTTCAACTGTGAAATATATTGTCAAAACATTGCTTATTTTATATTAATGCTGATATCTGTACTGCCTTTGAATAAAGGAGAAATCAACTTTACACATGTGTCCTCCATAGTCACATTGCAGCAAATAGGATTATTAGAAATACATACTCTCCTTGAGTTTTATGACAAAAGTCTTGTATTTTGTACTGCATAACAGTACACAGGTAGGTGTCACTAGAATGTAATTATGTCACAAACCAACCTCAGTAATCAATAACTTTCATTAAATAATTTCCTACCTTATGATATAATTAAAATCTTCTGACCTCTTTAATGTCTGTGCAATTTCTCAGTTTGGACAGTTTTGTCCTACTGTATAATTGTTTTCTTTAGAAATCTCCCATTTAGGGGTGAAAGTTTCGTTCTGTAATGAATGTATTGAGTTTATGAAGACTTATCAATCCTGACATGTTTTCCTTTCCTTTTTCTTTCTTCCTTCCTTTCTTCCTTCCTTCCTTTCTTCTCTTCTTTCCTTCTTTTTTGTTTTGATTTGGTTTTCTGAAGAGCTAGACATTGAGCACAAGGCTTTGGGAGCATTCTAGGAAAGCACTCTACCCATTATCCCTACCTTCAGTACTTTTCTCTTTAGTTTTTCTTATAGAACATGGTAAGGGTGAATATCATTCCCATGCTGCAAAGCATGATTCAGGAATAAATATTGGAAAAAAGCAGAGTGTAGAAAATGACATCATTCTGTATTTCAAAGAATTGTCTGCTTCTCCACTGAGTCTGGAGAGACTTTGTGGCAGTGGCAGGAACATCACGTACTATTTACATTCAGTAACTGTCACCACAGTGCCTTTTATACCTTACGTTGTCAGTGACAACCACACTAGGTAGTGAATCCAAAACCCTCTTCTCTCAAGAGATAAGATGAAGAGAGTCAATATTGTAATGGAGACAGCTTTGTGTCACTGTATTATGAAGTTTGCTGTTCATGGCATTTGTGGTGGTGAGAACTGACTGAGGCCTCCTGAATAATAAGCATAGGCTTTCCGACTGAGCCGCAATCCCAGTCCACTAGTTGATGGCTCAAATGACCTTCCTGAGTCATGAGGAATGCTTAAAAGCACACTAAGTTTCCCTAACTTTAATCAAGACAAAAAAAAATAAATGAAGGTTTCATTTCATTTTTGTTTTCTTATGTTTATTTTGGTTTTGTGAGACAGGGTTTTCCTGTGTGTTGACTTTGAGCCTAACCTGAAATTCATTCTGTAGACAATGCTAAGCTTGAAATTACAGAGATCTGCATGTCTCTGGTACCAAGTGCTGGGATTAAAGGAGTGTACCATCACTGCCCAACTCAAATGTTTATTTCTAAAAGCAAGCTGCAAGTGTCTAGGGAAGGATTCAGTGAGTTTATTGTTTACATATGTAAGCATGTACAATGATCCTATGTCAGAAGGAATCCCATGGAATTTGCTGCTGCAGTCTCACAGCTTCTTCTCTGCTGCTCTCTCACCTGGGGTAGAGCTCGGGGTTATTACTCCCAAGGGAGGGATCTTTCCAATAATTCTTTTCAGGGGAAATGATGCATGTTTTCATGAGCATCCTTTAAGCTGCATATAAGGCTGGGAACACAGATAAAACTAAGGAACTTCTTCCCTCAACAGGGATGAGGAGAGGAATCCTGTTGCACTCCCTTGAGCTGTTAGGTAAAAGTCTTTGCCCCTCTTCTCTTTCTTTCTGTTAGGTTATACCCTGATACAAAAGACAAAAGCCATACATGTAGTCCCAGTGGTAGCATTTTGTACCATAAAATAAACAATTTTAACTAAAAAGCTGAACAAGATTCTTTGTTTCCCTTCATGGATTTTTTTTTCCATTTTGAATCTGTTGTTTTGTTTGTGAGACACCATCTCATTGTTAGGTAGTTCTGGCTGTCTTGGGAATCACAGGCATCCACCTGCCTTTGCCATCCATGTGCTGGGATTAAAGTTGTGTGCCACCATCCAGATTCTAGAATTTTTCTCAAGTGTCATTATCCCAAAGTCA